TAAATGATTTCAAGGATAACGGCTGTGATATGATTGACTACACCGGCTTCCACACTGTTCAGCTAAAATCTTTCTGTAATAGTTATGGTATGAGGGTATACCATCGGGGATATGACGTCTTCTGAAATATTTGAATATCTTCAAGAAAATCACACGTACGTATGCATGGTGGTATTACCAGAGATTCATCAATCTTCTGAATGGCGTCTTTGTTTTTTGTTTGTTTATATAGAGATTATTTAAGGCCTAACGCTAATTGCACTATATTGCAATTTAATTTTAATTTTCGTTTACTGTTTCAAGCTATCAATGATGAGTGGAGATTCCTTGTAAATAAATACCTCACTGCAACCGATACTTGTTATTCCGCATAATTAAGTATGATAAAATCTTTCTAGACCAGATACAGACTTGTTTGTTTAGGTAAATGATTGAAAAAGGAATATCGTTATATCAGATACTTGTTAATCCGGATAACGGAATCTCTCTAGACCGGATATGGAATTTATGTCAGATCGAAAATCTCGCTAGTCTAGATATTTACTTCCTGTTCCGCATAGGGATAATGATTCATAAAAAAATTGCTTGACCAGATACAGAAGTGTCAATCCGGATTATCATTAATAAAGGAACCTCGTTAGGTCAATCCTAGACTTGTTAGTCCGTATAATTATCTATAAAGGAAACTTTCTGGACCGTATATTGACCGATAAGTCCTAATAATTACTTATAAATGAAACTCGCTGACCCGATGGTGACTCACGGATTGGGCTTTTTAAGGTCTGGACATTGGCTTAAATATGAGCTACGCTAATCCGGATATTGACTTTAAGTGTTGGTATAGACTGATATGGTACCGACTATAGACTGAAAAATACTAGGCCTTATCAATCCGGCTATGGAATTATATATAGGAGTCTTTCTTGGCCAGATATGGACCAACTGCTGACGTACTAGTCGAATGCTGATGTCAAAGGGAACCTCGTTATACCGGAAATTGGCGTACTCTGGTACGTAATAGTCCGGATGTTGACTAATATATGAAACATTTTATGATCGGATACTGACACAATGACATATAACTCGCTAATTTGACAGCTGACACACACAGAAACTCGTTCTTCCGTAGCTTTACTCACAGTCTGTTTTTTTTAAATCGGATGTTGAGTTACAGTGAAGCCTTGTCATTCCGGATTTTTTTACAGTGATAACATATACTAAAACAGCATGACGAACAGAGATATTTCTGGAGTGGAAAAGGTTTCGGATTAGAAAGTAAAGTACGATCGGGACGTTAGATTTATTGCTTAATTTCATTAGCCGATCGGAAGATATTTTTTGTTTTACTTTTTTTCGGACAACGAATTACCAGTAGGCTACTAAGAGTTGGTGGAAAGATTAACAATAATGCCGTGCATGTCATTTAAGGATGTTATAATTACGTAAACTAAGAAAAATTAGCATTCCAGCGTTTCATTGACAGAGAAATTATCACAATGTTTTCAAACAGAAAACTTCTCAATTTATCATAGGAAAATTATTATGGAACCGCAGCAAATGGCATTTAATATTCTAAAAATGTTTTGTTTCGGCATTTAATAGTCTTACGTATGTAGACACTCTCGTCGTTTGAGATGGGTTCGAATTTATCGATGTTATGATTCCAAAAAACGAGAGACGATTTTAAACAAATAATACTTGAGTAAAATACGATCGGGACGTTAAATTAAAAAATTAATTCAAAACTCGTTCTAAAAGATACTAGAAATGAGAACAATACGATCGGGAGTTGGAATTGACCAATTAATTAAGAACTCATTCTGTAAGAAACTAGAAATAGTTTACCGCATCAGTGTTGGAGATAGAAAAACCTGTTCAGATAATCTAAAATTTAAAAAAAAAGTTGCGTCTACTTGTAGTATGTGAACTAATAGGGTTGTAACGTCTTTGTACGCGCTATATTAATTTTACCATCAATATTAAAGCGATTAGTGATTTTTTTTTCGTTGATGCCAAATGGCTTCGCCTAATGGAAATTAAATAAGCACTTGTGGCAGTTTACTGAATGTAGGGGATAATTAATCTGTTTTTACATGTCTTTGATAATTACTCCTTGCAAGAGAGAGAAAAAGCGCCCGCGCATGCAATTTTGTATTTTATATGAATAACAGTATTGACAAAACGATATGCGCTTCTTCTCACTGAAATAGATGAAATATCTATCATTGTCATTCGACGCGAGAGTTTTGATAACTGTAAGCATTATCACTGAAAACAAGGCTATCATTTTAGCAATTAGGGACCCAAATATGTTATCTCATATCGGTCACTGTCGCTGTTTACTGTTCACAGATGCGAGCTTCGCCTGACCAAACGCATTCTTTTTCATTTCTCAGATAGATGGCATGCACGTACGGGTATAAAATGATTTAATCTAGTGCATACTGCAAAAGAGGCCATATTCCAGTATAATCAAAGATATCTAAAAGGTCATATGAAACTATAACCTGTGTATAAAGGTCACATCAGTATCACAGATATCTGTCTATAAAGGTCACATCAGTATCACAGATACCTGTCTATAAAGGTCACACCAGTATCATAGATACCTGTGTATAAAGGTCACCTCAATATCGCAACTACCAGTCATTAAAGGTCACCTCAACATCGCAACTACCAGTCATTAAAGGTCACTTCAAGTTTTCTGATACTTGTCTATAAAGGTTACCTCAATATCGCATATACCTGTCTAAAAAGGTCACTTCAATATCGCAACTACCAGTCTGTAAAAGTCACTTCACGTTTACTGATATATCTCTATAAAGGTCACCTCCAATATCATAAATACCTGTCTATAAAGATCAAATAAATTCATACTTATCTATAAAGGTCATCTAAATAAATTAATGACGTTCACCGGAATATCACAAAGACCTATTGATAATGTTTACTTCAATATCAATACAGGTGACCTTTATATCAGAGATTTCTGTATATAACGGTCATCTCATTAAAAAGTCTTTCCTGTCTTTAAGGTCATCTCAGTACCACAAATACCTGCCTATATAAGTCATCTCTGTATCACATATTCCTGTCTATAAAGGTCATCTCATTATCACATATACCTGTCTTTAAAGGTAATTTCAATATTTCGAATACCTGTCTAAAAAGGTCATTTAATATCAAATATACCTGTCTACAAAAGTCGTCTCAACAAGATTCATACCTGTCTATAACATCTCCCAAATAAAGTACCCGTCTATATAGTTCATCAGTATTATGTTGATACACTGTATGACAAATATTTGTCTATAAAAACCGTGTTTGTTTCCTTGTCTATAAGGGCCACCAGTTTTTGTTTCATTGTCTATAAAGACCATCAGTTAATGTTTCCTTGTCTATAAGACCATCAATTAATGTTTCCTTGTCTATAAAGACCATCAGTTTATGTTTCCTTGTCCACAACGACCATCAATTTTGTTCCCTTGTGTACAACGACCATATTTTTGTGCCCTTGTCTATAAAGACCATCAATTCAGCACAGTCCATAGTAATATATTCACAAATGTCACCTTTCTATAAAGACCACTTTCTGCCATTGACTGCTGTTTACAGGTTTACAGACAGCTTTGACTGTACTGTTGGGAAATTTGCTACTGGAACATCTAGCAAATCAATTCCTGTATGATATACATATCTGCCAGAAAAAAAATCTGTATTTGAAGAACAAAAGATCCAGTAAAATTGTAACTAGCATTTTGTCGTATAGAACCGAGATGTCAATAACTCGACAAGTTGTCTCTTATACTCGACAAACACCTTTTTTTCAATCAACATCGAATGTAGTCTAATTACGTTTATTTGTTTAAAGAAGTTTGCACCGAGTTATTCCAGTGAACGTGATCACGAAGTCGTTTGAGGGCATACTTCAGCCAATTCCATCGATATAAATCAAGTCTGTTGACGTAATAGTCGATTGAAAACAAAACACGCGTGGTCTACCATTTAATTCTATTTTTGTAATTGAGACCTTCAATATTGAACACGATTAAATTGAAACTCAAAGAACAGACTCTCTGTATCTGATTTCTCTATGTATCATGTTCTAGATATGGTAAATATTTATTTATTTATCATTAGAACCATATATTTAGTTTTCCGGACTATCAATCTCATCACAAAAAGATACATTGGTATATTTTGGTTGTTTCCTTGGCTATTTGGTTCAAATTTGAAATATGATACATTACTTTCCTAAATTGTTCAATTTCATTTCATCAAATCAGTGCCGACAGCTTCTAGTCAGTTCATACCTGACCATCACTCTTCAAACACTGTAACGTGACAGGATACATTAAAAGGTTACCAAGTAAGGAGACCTTATATAATTATCATATCTGTGTTTATTTAGATATTCTATATTATATCTGAAGATTATTCATACTACATATGATCTCAAAATTTCGTTTTGAAATTTTGGCAAAATTAAAGAAATATAATTTGATGATAAAATTTTCATGATTTTATCAGGTCATCACATAACCAATATCGGGTTGACCTGACCAGATTAAGTGAAATGGGGACACTGTTCGTTGAATGAGTCCAAATTATCAAACAAGGGCCTTTGTTGATGTCAACAATATAAGTAAAATACACCATCAGAAAGAGTATATCTTCTTCCTTTACTGACATCCTTCAGTAAATGACGATCACATCAAATTTAAGGTCGTGATATTTTTGTGGATCAACATTTTGTTGTCACTTTATGTGTGTTAAACTAAGTCATTTTCAAATCTTTCGAATTGAAAATATATTCATGGTACGACGGTATCCCTAAAGCACATATTTGATCAAATACAATGACGTAAAGCAACATTGAAGAATACATGCGAGGTTTTACTACAATGGTCAACGTATGAGAAAGTCCGTCGTCCCTCAACAACTTGTGGTTTAGTTAAATCATTTATTTAATTTTCAAGAAAAAACAAACAAAAACTTACCTTTCCAAAGAAATAGCGACGAGCGTAAGCACGCTAGCAAAGACGAAAATTGGAAAGATATAGTAAACGACAGCGCACAGGCCATCGTGGCCAAAAATCTGCCAATCACAGGGGCTCGTGTATTCCAGGAGTTTCAACGGTAAGACGATGGACGAGACAAGGAAATCGGACAGAGCGAGATTCACAATATAATAGTTGGTCACAGTATGCATGTGGGTATTCCTCCAGATAGTCCAAATCACTAACATGTTTCCAAACACGGCAAATACCATTACCAGAAGATAGCCTACCACAATGGCGGCGTGAACCGTGTTGATCTGGGTAAAATCCACATAGGAATCGAACACAGCAACGTCACATCGATCAACCGGAAACAACAGGTCCCTCGTGTTGTTGGTACAGTTTCCCCATAGGTAACACAGCACGTTTCTCGGCAAACCGGAAATGTTAAGGTGTGACGAAGTGAAGTTTAAATAGAGAGATTTTCTTAAGAATTCCCCGTCCGCCATATTTGTTGTGTGCTCAATATGTCGAACTCTCACACAAAGTTGCGTTGGAAATCGTGAAATAATTACATTGAAGAGTATAACTGATTTACATTTGGCAACTTACACTGTTGTTATGGCTGGGTAAAGCTCTTGAAATGCTGTTTTCTATCCTTGTCAGATAAAGTTTCTGATGTCACGTGGTGCTTTTTATTCTACGAAGATAAAATAGTCCACTGAATACCTGCTTAACTAAATCAGGCAAAATAAAGAAAACACTGATGATATACATGCATATCTGTTCTTGATGTCCTTAACTAAGAAACGTGTGTCAAATTAATAATTAGGAAAAGATGTCACTTTGATTTTTGATACTGAAAATCATACATTATTTATTCGTCACTAGTAGCACTTTTAAAACATCGTGTTTTTACAGCGTTAACGTTTCAAAAGAATATAAGACGAATTTCAATTGTAATTGAAATTTTACTTATTGGTACGCATTCCTCTGGAGATTAACAAACTTTTTTTAAAATACAGCAGTAGAGGAGGCCAGTTGTCTAAAAGAAAATCAACTATTTAATATATGTCAGGCAACTAGTCCATTATAATCCAATGAAGACTACTGACGAGAGACCCCGTCAATTATAAAAATAAAATTGGTGGCCGGTTCGCTCGCCATATGTCATACCCTCGTCCTAGTCCGTTGTTTCACAGGCCTTGTCTGTATTTCGTTTATAAACTAGTTTTCCGTGCTGCTGTAGAATCTCCTGGCGCTGTTGCTGAGCCTACCGTCTTAGCGAACAGTCGATTTTCTGCTCGCTGCAGTTGCCGTATTGATAATCTACCACATGCCATTGGTGGAACAACTTAAACGGAAAACCTGTCGCAAACAAATCCGACGAATTAGAAATGATATCTACTTTGATATCAGTTCGTACTTCAATGGAAGGAAAAAATATTGAGATGATTTGTCAAGCCAAACTTGTCTCGATCGATTCAACAATCAATTAAATATCTTAAATATCCATTTCCTAAGAAATTTAAAAGCGCGAGTGAATGCTCCGGACTTCCGAAGCGTGCGTTAAAGAGCTGCTTTGTGTACGTAAAGGTCCAAGAATTAAGTGTGTGGTGTCGAGGTTGCGGGGTCTGATGTGAAGATTCGAGATCAACATGACAAGATATTTGCGAGACTATTCTAGTTAGCATTAGTATGTGATGGTTTCCTGACAAGGTAGAGAGCTTGGTTTGTTTGTATTTGGCCAGTAATCTCTTCACGGCTCGCCACAAGCATTCGACCTGGAAAGAGAATATTTAAGATTAAGCACATGCCGGCCATTAGCTTACAGAGGTATAAACAAACCGGCAGTAAAATATGACGCGTAGTCGGCTTAAGGGTGTATGTTAACTTACTATGTCACAATTATAAAACAGAGGCAAAGAAAATCTTTATTATCTGTGATGGCTTTAAGGGTGTATGCTATAGTATACATTATGCATTCGATAACCTCAGTTTTAGATAAAAGTATATCATTTCCACCAATTAGTTTTCTAAACATTTCAACGTGATACGTACACGCATACAATTTACAAACTCACATTAATCAATTTTAAGTGGATACTATTGTATACGTAAAATCTGTGGGATAATATACTTGTCATATTTTTTATTGGGCATATTTTGCATGTGTGATCCTTGTGACAAGACCGGTGGTACCAACCTTTTCCGCTATGTGACCTTGATCCTGACTTATTTTGTATTTCCCCCTAGAAATCCATAGACTGGCAACATATGGGATAACGTGTATATGAGACAATCAGGATGCCGTGCAACTCTTTAAAGTGGTGCTTGGCATTTATCGACAGTTCGTTCTAAAGGTCGTTAACCAACCGACTGGTTAAATATTTCTGTGTGATCAGAATTCATATGCCGTTCGATATTTTTTATGAAAGAAACAGTAGAAAAAGCATTCGCAATAACACTTAATGTTAAAACTTAAACATTTCATCATAGAGCTTTGAACGTTTAGAGGTTAGTGACATTGTGACATATTCTGCTGGTTTAGTAAAAATATAATGCACATTGTGCAAAAAAACAACAAATAATGAAGTGATTTAGAACTGTCTTTCTGAAAACATATTAATGTGGCGATATCGGGGAAAATTCACATTTATATAAATTGATTTCACTGTAATTTATCAACTAATGATGCATCTTGACATATTGAACATCATTTCCAATGTTCATGTCGGTGAATACATAAATGTATATGTTATATAGCCTTTTACAGTGTCTAATAAAAAGGCGTCAGCGCCTATCTCCTGTGGATATCGGGCTTCACTTTGATGAAGATTGTCAATGGCAGTAAAAGCTCGTGAATCATTTGTGGAACAGTTTTGCAGAAAACACGTCAAATGCCAGACAGGGGGAAATGACTTGATTCCTAGTAAGATCTTTGCACAGTTTTTACACGCTGTTGGCATACCAATAAATTGTCATTATTGTGGTCATATTATTCGAAACGTATAGGAAAATATCGGCGATGAAAAGTATCGAACATGTAGTCTTATATAGAGGCTCTTGCATTAGTTTTCATTCATGTAGAATTTATGAGTTTGAGAGCTTTATGCGTGCCTATCGCGACGTAAAATGAAAAAAAAGAAATATTGTAGTGTTTCATAACGTTTTAGTTTCCATTTGGTACATAATTATGAATTGTTTGGAAACTTTCGAGAAAAAAAAGAAAAACCTTTGAAAGGTTTTACGATGAAAATATAGGTAATATAAAGAAACACATTTGATATTTTTATTCATTTTTGACCAATCAAATCGCAGTATTTGCATGTAAAGTTTCCCAATGGATCATTGTGGTATCATTAAAGAACGATAATTCTGATAGAGATTCTGCAAATATAGTCATGTAATAATTTTTGACCAATCAAATCGGAGAATCAGCAGTAAATACTGTTTTCACGTGGTTCCATTAAGGAACCACATCTGTGATAGATATTCTCAAAATACAGTCATATATTATTTTAAGACCAATCCGACCACAGTAAAAACAGTTTTCCCGTGGGTCATTGTGGTCCCTTTAAGGAACAATAACTCTGATATAGATTCTCAAAATTGCACTCTTTTGTAAAGGTAGACAACTGTATGGTAATGATCTTTGTAAATCTTAATTAAATCAATGTGATAATACAGGGGACCGATTATCCTATAACATAAATTATTTGAAGACTTTTGTCGTAGAACTGAAACTTATATGTATAATCTGAACAATCAAATAGACAGAACGGCAAATTCAAACTGACATCAATAAAAACTTTTTCGTGTCCTTAATGAATAACAATTATATTTCAGATCATGGATGGCGAAAACTTTAATGAATGAAATATCACTGTTGTTCATCTGGAGTATCCTCTCTTGGTATAATTGATATTTTTGTACTAATTTGAGATCATTATCTGCCTTTGAAAAAATTTTTAAAAAAAAACAAATATTAAACAAAGAATAAAGCAAAGCAAACAAACAAAAAATGAAAAAAAACAAAACTAAAAAAAAAACAACAAAAAACGAACAAAAGCAAACATAAATCCCACAAAGAAACACTCAAAAACACTTTAAATCTTCTACAACACCGCTAATTTGTGCACTTAATTTCAACGTTACTAGAATGAGGTAAATTGTGATCGTGACGATTTGAATTTGTCTGTACTTTTCTTGGCATCAACATATCAACCTATAACCTATGCTGTAATTTTCACGATATATTTGGTTTGATTTTATACAACATGTTTCATATATTACGAGTTTAGATTTTGGATATCGACAATTAATAGACAAAGGCGTAGCAGAGACATCAAACAGCAATTGGTCATTTTTTGGTTTCAAGTAATATAGAAAGATTTACGTTTTAGAAGTCTGGTTCTCATTTTGAGAACATGAAATTTCCTCGATTTACTCATTAAAAGTAAATGCTCATGAAACATATCGTCTTATTTTCCTCGTATGTTTTAAAGAATTCGTGTTTAAACACTATTCTTAATAATCTTTTTCTCCATTCCATTGAATTTAAATGGAATATCTATTCCCTTACATATTTTGTATCCCAACTTTTGTTTTCTTCAATACGCAGATTTGGTTTTGACAGTTCACGATGATGGAACTAAGATTCTTTTTTCTGTAATAGAGATGTGCATGTTAACTAGTATTTGTAATAATTCATTATCTTCAAATCACATTCTAGACTGTCAAAATCTTCAAACTATGTCACTTCAAATAAATTCTGTTAAGACACGTATTGTTAACATCAAAAACCTTTTTCATAATTGTATATTCCTCAAATAATTTTCTAGTCTATTCATAGACAATTAGCTTCTGCCAGATAACAACATAGATGCTGTAAAATTGGATCAAAACAATTATACTACAAACTTGATCTAATCACAACACCCTAATTCTGGAACCAATTATCTATCGAGTATGGTTAGTTTGTCACTTAAATATCATATTGTTTCACTCTGTAATTGAGAATGTCTTGATTTTATTAGCTGAAACTGTATAAATCAGCTGACTGAAATGCCGATGGGATAATAACAGGACATTTATAACTTCCTTTTGATACTGTAAGAAAAAGCTGATTTTGTTTGTAAATAGAAGTGAAGCTTGAGTAGTGTTTTGAAATTATCTCCCGATAGAAATCTGTTTCCGGTGGACATGGCTGGATTTCGATACATCTAGTCATGACTGCGCGTGGCGAAACAGATTCCTGCATATCTTTCTCATCTGGATGAAATAAACACCGGCTCTTAATTCTTTACGACTATTCAAGAGAGCAGAACTTTAGAGGTTTTCCGAGTATACAGACCTTGGTATTGATTAAAGAGATCAAAAACATGATATCCGAGAAGACACTTCCATGCAGCACAAAGATTAACGAAAGGAAGGAATTAATTTCATTACACTGTTTTTTTTTTAAACTTAGACCTTTATGAATATAAAATTCCATATAATCAGGAAT